TGTTTGTCTATGTGGGGTTATGTGTGCATGAGGGCACCAGAACCCCAGGAGCTGGAGTTACAGTGGGTGTGGGAGCTGGGAATTGAACTCAGGAACTCTGCAAAGGCAGTATGTGCTTTTAACCATTAAGCCACCTCTCCAGCCCCTATAACAAACTATAAAAGTTATTTTGGAATATGTCCATACTTTTATGACATAAATACATTTATGTCATGTTGTCCCAATATGTATCATGTATCTCAATTCATGACACCTTTTGGTGGTGTCAAGAGGTCATGAGTACTTGGCTTGGACAATCTAGGTCAGTTTGTGCTCTATGATGATTGCTGATGAAGGATGTGGTACAGTGTGGATAATATTGCCAACATGAAACAATACACAAGTGCAGTGACGGCTCACAGGAGACAGTACATGGAATGATATTGTAGGTGGTATTTGTAAGAATGCCCGGCATGCACAAACAATGGTGACATCTAGTTACTGGCGATGTTTAAAGCTTGGTGGTATACAGACTCAGGATCTAACTCTGAAACAATGCTGAGTGGTGAGGGCTTTTCCCCCCATGGGCTTTGCTGCTTCTCTTTGTTTTCAACTGAAAAGATCAAAATTAAATAATGAGCCACATTTTCTCAATTTGAACATTTGGGGATTCACATGGTAGGAAATTATTTCTAGGCGCTCCTTTGGTCTTGAAGTGATTCTCTTAGTCCCGTGGAACACACAAGGATATAATAACATTTGATTTTTTGGGGCTTGGTTCAGAATGTATACATAAATATTAATTTTGATTTTACCATATCAGCCACTGTCCAAAACTAAGAACCAAATTTTAGGGTGTGTGTGTGTGTGTGTGTGTGTGTGTGTGTGTGTGTGTGTGTGTGGTGGAGGGGAGAAAGCAGAGAGTATGGGGGAGAACACCTAGAAAAAACAGAAGCAACATAAGCTCAGGTCAGTTTGGAAGTATTAAGTTAGTCCTCAATTTCTGAATGAGCTCAACTGTAAGATCAGTCAGGAAGGGCTAGGGTGAAAGTCAGGTTTGGACATACACATGCTACTAGCACCCAGGTTCATGTGGCATTCTACAGGCCAGGAAAAAGCAAAATCTTCCCTAGAATAGTCCCAGAAGGATGGCAAAGCCTCCTCTGGTCCAAATATGTATGTTTACACATGATTTAGCAGTGTTCTGTAGAAACTATCGACCACAGCTTCCTCCTGCTGCAAGTTTCCAGCCTGAGACTGCTCCCTACAGAGACTTCTCACCCAGACCAGCTAACCCTCTGCCTTACACTGACCGTTTCGGCACTCTAGTTTCCAGGCAGATCAGTGGGTGTCCTCTACCAGAGTGAGCACAGCCCACCAGTCCCGCCGCTTGTGTGTATGTGTGTCTGTCATTCCTTCAGTGTCTGTCTGTCGTTCCTTCAGTCTGGTTTCCATGACCGAGTCACACAGATGTGGCAAGATTCCAGATGCAGAGACATGCCAGAAGGAGAACCATGAGCAGCTGCCCCTAAAGGCAAGGACCAAGAGCTGAAGTGCTGGTTAAAACTAAAGCATCGATGATGCCTCCTTTTAGTAGCTCTGCTCTCCTGGTCCTTAAGTCCTGTCTCTTGAGATAGAGGCAAGAGACATCAGCACCAGAAGTCATCCCCAAGTGCAGCCTACTGTCTTTCCTCTTCCAGGTCCTGTGGAAGTCTGTTGTCACAGCCTGGCCACAATCTACTGAAGTGGGCTCTTCCTCATGGAAGGTGCCAATCATCAAAAGCATGGGACCAGCTTGGTCATCTTTGTGTCTTGAGAGCCCAGTCCCTGGTATGCCTAGGAAGTATTGTTTCAGTAGAGGCTGTAAAATTCCTCCAATAAAACACAGAACAGAAAATACCTTGTCTAATTGATTGAAAATCCTCAAATTGGAAGTCCTCTGTAATGTTCTTTCTCTCTAGTCAGATGACCATTCAGAGTAAATTGGTAACAGTCCAATACTTACAGTGACTGAAGGGACATAGCCCATTCCAGCATGTGGCTCTGGCAGGCCTTGCCCTTCTCCCCATCCCCTCTGCCTTGCTAAAAACAGTTAGATTGCATTTCTAAAGCCAGTCACCAAGGTCTAGTCCCTTATTTGGCCACTTCCTCCTCCTGAGGTTACCAAAGTCCAGCAACCAGAAGCCCCCTTTGGCTCACCTAATTAACACGCCTAATTAAACACCTCATCCTAACATGGGGTTTCCCCTTTACCTTTATAAACCGCCATTTGCCTATGTGCCATGTCTGTCTCCCCTCTATCCAGAGGCAGTCCTTTGTCCCTCTGCCCCCTTCCCCCTTTCCCTCACATCCTCTCTCCTTTACCCCCGCATCCCAGCCCATTCTAACATGGACCTCCCCTTTTTTCTCCTCTTAAGAATGACACCTGCAAGGTCATTGGCTGCCAGTTTTTGTTGTTGTCGTTGTTGTTTTGTTTTGTTTGTTTGTTTGTTTGTGCCCGAGTCAGAAAGCAGCCACTTTAACTTTTCTTCCCAGTTTATTAAAGGATCTGTCTGTGAAAACAGGTGTTTGGGTGTGGTTTGTGCCTCATCTGGGGTCCCAGAGGAAGTCCCCACTGTGTGGGGGTCTCCTTCAGTAACTATTACAGTGTGGATCTGAAGTGTCCCCCAAACACTTACGTGTTCAAGTGTTGGTCACTAGCCTGGGCTCCTACTGGGGAGAGGCAGAACCATTAGGATGCTGGGCCTCATGGGAGGAAGTTAGGTGACTGGGGAACACCCTTAAAGATGATATTGGGACCCAGAACCTTCTTGTTTCTCTCTTGTCACTGCCCAAATGTCATAAAAAAAAAAAAAAGCTCCATCTGGCACCTGCCCTGAGGCACCCTGTGGCTACAGGCTCAGAGTACAGACACAATCAAGAAGCCATGGACTGAAACCTCTGAATTTAAGAGTCAAAGTAAACCTTCCTCTCTTTTAAGTTGATTATCCCAGTTACTTTGTCACAGTGGCAGAAAGCTGTCTGAAACAAAGACGACAAGTTATAATACCAGGGTATGTTTTGGGTTTTGTGGCTTCACACATGAGGATAAAGTCTCAAGCTGACAGACAGGTCAGTACCTCTTAAATCCCCCAGCAAGCCGTGCCAGTTTCTAACTGAAGAAGGACTTTGCGGGAGCTCAATCCTTAACTCTTGAACAAAATGGGTAGGTCACAGAGAGATCACAACCAAACTTCACAGCCCAGTGTGGTGATGATGTACAAACCATAATCCTAGCACTTTGGATGCAGAGGCAGGAGGATTGTGGCCAGTCCCAGTCACTCACAGTAGCCTGCCTCAAAGAAAAAAAAAACTTTTTTAATGCTAGTTTTTTTTTTTCCTTAGGAATTTTTCCTTTTATTGAAAATAGATTTTCTTCTCATATAATATATACTGACTACAGTTTGTCCTCCATCTACTCCTCCCAGTTTTTCCCTACTCCTCTCCCACCTGGATCCACTTCTTCTATGTCTCTAATTAGAAAATAAACAGGCTTCTAAGGGTTAATAATAACATAAAATAGAACAAAAGCCAACACATCAAAACAGGACAAAACAATCAAACAGAAGGAAAAGAGCCCAAGAAAAGGCATAAGAAACAGATAGAGACAGAGAGACTCACTCATTTATACACTCAGGAATCCCATAAAAGCACCAGACTGGAAAGCCACAATTTTGTGCAAAGGACCTGTACATTTCTAGTCTGAGAGTTCTTACTCCTTCCCAATTTCCATTCTTCCTTATTCAGCTTTTCTGATAAACTGTAAAGAAATGGTACTGACTGAAACAAGTGTTCCTGAAAACGACTTGGAAGCCCTAAGAGCGGTGGCATTGGCAAACTGCTCAGTGTGGTCCATTGTCCTTCTTACCTACTTGAACTGAGCAAATCTTATTTCAGCTGGTTTGCCATCAACGGAGGAAGAAAGAGGAGCACAAACTGGATCTCTTCATCCCTGTCCCACTGGGTACCCTCCCACTGTGCAGTGCATTCCTGAATTTTTCTGATTGATGCTTGGCAGCCTCTGTTCTGCGGAGAATGGCCTGTGACAAACGACCCCTGGTAGAGCTGCTGACCATTGTTAGGGAGACAATAAAAGGATGTTTGATAAGCATCTCAGGACTGATTTTTCTCCAGCAGAAGCACATTGGCGGCACCATTTTCCAGATTTCCATTCTACCTGTGGCTTCACAGAGCTAAGAGCCAAGATTCCTGGCCAAGAGGAGACATTGTCTCCTCACTACAGAGGCTGGAAACAGGATTGCTGGGGAGGCTGTCCTACAGACAGTTGATGCTCACAATATTGCCTAGCAACTGTCAGTCCCAGAATGTTCAAAGGACTGTTGGATTTCCTCTGTGTTCCTGATTGGTTGAGGAGCTTGCAAAAAGGTGCAATGCAGCTTGTGTTAACGAGAGAGTAGATTTAAACAACTGTGCTCAAAATACAGATTTCTTACCTCTTTTTTTTTTTAATTATTTTTATGTGTAAGAGTTCTTTTCCTGCTTGTATTTGTGTGCACCACACACATGCCTGGTGCCTGTGGAGGTCAGAAAGTGGCATCAGATCTTCTGGAAATGGAGCTGTGGATAGTTGTGAGCTACTATATGAGTTCTGGGAATTGAACCTGGGCCCTCTGCAAGAGAAAAAAAAAAGTGCTCTTAACATTTTAACCATATCTCCAGCCCCAGAACTCCTTTATACAAGATAGATTGGAAATGATGTTCGGCTTTATGGAAAAGTCACAAAAATAATATGAGTCTCTGATGTAACAGCCATCTTTCTCCCAATGGAGGGTTTCAACTAAAGCTTGACGTTTATTTTCAAGAACATTTTAGAAGAATTCACTTGTGTGGGTTGGAAGCCAATTACCCTAGATGGCTTTGAAATACCAAGTGTAGGAGCCAATTATTCTACAGGTCCTTTGAATTAGAGCATTCCTTCACACTTAGCAGACAATTCAGTTGAAGATCTTTCAATTTGCACACCAGTGTGTAGGGGTGTCTGTTGACTGAAATAGAGCCGTCCAGTCAACTGCAGTTACACGTGTACCATGTAAAAAACATTTTCAGTGTCAAGAAGCCAAGACTATGTCTACCTGAACAAGCTATTGAAGAGCCAAGTCACAGGTAGACTGAAAAGTTAATGCCTAAAAGCTAGATGACTGCGGTTGATTTGGGAATTCAGAAGCCGGAGACAAGATTCTGTATGATGATTTCAGAAGGCTTCATGGAAGAGGTGAGATGTAGGGGCTGTTGGTAACCTGCTAATGGTGAGGATGAGTTCAGATCCTCAGCACGCATATAAAAGCCAGATGTGGGGGGGTGTGCTTATAAGTCCAGTGCAGGGGTTCAAAGGGGGATGGGGATGAGGGAGTGGGGGCGTTTCCCGATGCTGGTTGTCCAGCTGATACAGGCAAATTGTTGAGCTCCAGGTTCAAGGGGAGATTCTGTTTTTTTGTTTTGTTTTGTTTTGTTTTGTTTTGTTTTTTAAGTACAAAAGCATTTGAGGAAGGACACTTTGGTCTCCACATGCATGAACACACACACACACACACACACACACACACACACACACACACACACACTCTTTCATGAGAATGGAAAAAAGAAGCGAGATTAAGATTCTCTGAAGACAACTCTACCATGTGTATTGATGCCGCTTCACACTCTGTATTCCCAGCTGATCCAAAGTCAGTCTCCAGTAGCAGTTCTTTTTGCTACTGTCCCCTCACATAATTACCTCAAGAAACAGAAATGATGCAATCCAGACATCAGCGTGAAGGACAGTTAGAATCGCAAAGGTAAAACATGGAGGGCAGAGGGCCTTCCTTATGGGCAGCCCTCCTCTCTAAGAATCCCAATCACCATTTTGATTTCATTCATTCAGTTTAAGAATGAATCCCAGCACTCAGGAGGCAGAGGCAGTGGGATCTCCGAGTTTGAGGCTAGCCTGGTCTGCAGAGTGAATTTCAGGACATCCAGGGTTCACAAAGCAAGCTTTTCTCAAAAAACAAAACAAAACATTTTCAACATGCTAGTTACCAAAATTAGAAGATTAGAAGGAACAGCAGGGGGCAAATTAATGTCTCAGAAACCCCAGGTCAGAATATCAAAGGGACTGTGGTTGCAACATGTAACAACTGTTGGGGATAGCTAGTCTGAGCCTTCCAATACAAGAGAGTAATAAGCAAAAATCTCAGGGATTTAACTAAGTCCCATAACATGTGGTGACATAAGCCTCCCCATTTTCTGTCTGCCATATGTGTCCTGTTCTCTATTAGCATAAAATTCCAGTGACCCTTAAATAATCCAGACCCTGTGACATCATGGTCCTGTTAAAATTAAACAAATGAATACAATTCTAGTTATTTTTCTGAGCTTCCCTTGGCCAAAATGAAAGAGCTCTCTGTCTTGAAAGTACATCACATTGTGTAGAAACAGATTTTTATTATAAATGGTTTCATGTTGAACTACAGTTTTTGCTTGACCTGTTATTCATTTTCAACATTTGAGCAGAATTGACTGATGTATTTCCATTTTCTTATCATTTTTCTCCAGAGTAACTAGGTTATTTGTATGTTCATGTGCATGTTTGTATCCATGTTTGTGGTAGGGGGAGTGCATGTGTGACATGAGTACATATGCTAATGTGTGTGGGTACATGTGAATGTGGATGTGAGTTCATATATCTATTTGTGTATTTTGACAGAGGACAGCCTTGGGTTTCTTCCTCAGAAACACTTGCCATGTGTCTTCGAGACAGGTTCTTCTTGGGTTGGAACTCACCAATTAGACCCGATGGGCCAGTTGGCCCACCCCAGGGGCACACCTTTTCTGCTTCTTAACATGAGGATTACAGACAAGCCCCACCACACCCGGATGTACGTAGATATGGGGGATTGAACTCAGGTCCGTGTGCTCACAAGGCAAGCTCTTTACCAGCTGAGCTATCTCCCCAGCTCCTGTTCTATGCTTTTCTTGTTCTGATTCTTTTTAATTTTGATGGGGCAGAAAGAAGTAAAAGAAACACACACGAAGCACACAACTTCATCTATTTGGGAGAAATTAGACTTTCCAGATATCTGAAGAGCACATGCTTCATGTCATGTGTTCATTGCATATATGAAGGGAGTCTTAGTTCGGATACTCAAATAAATAACTTCCCACATTGCTGGGGAAAGAAGGCTTCTATAAGTGACCTCAGTTCTTCAATAATACCTGACTTCTTCCTATCGTAAGATTTAGGTAGAAGAGACAAAACAGAATCAGAGTCATCTGGGAAGGGCTAAGGAGAAAGTTGGAGCTGACCTTACCTTGAGACGAATTGGAGCTGTAGACATTGGAACTAGACCATCCCATTCAAGGGCCAGTAAAGGACAATCCTGTAAGCAGACAGAGGAGCTAAGAGCACTATAAGATGAACAAGCACAAAGGCCTTTCCTTGCTGGAGCAGAGGTGGCCTTGGGGGACTGTGAACTTGATAATTAGGGTGGGCAGGTGAGGGTGGGCATGAAGAGCCTGCAGATGACCTCTGATTGTCCATGCCATCTTTCTGAGGAACGCTGGGTTTGCAGTACTACTGTGAAACAATGCACTTGCTTTTCTCAACTAGAATATAAAACTAGAAAGGAAATCCATTTCCACATAAGGGGTGTTGAATTTTTTTTTAACTCTTACGTTTTCTTATGCTTCAGTGATTGTGGCAGGTGTTTTCTAGTTTAAAACTGAAAGCCATCAAGAGCAAAAGATGCAATCAATCCTTTGACATTTAACAACTTACTCCCCTCGCCTCTTTGTTTTCAAAGGCAAGTTTGTGCTTGGGGCCCCACTTTGGGTTGCATGGATCATAGATCTATTAGTCAGGTGTGGCAGCTCTTCAGAATCGTGACTAAGGATCCAGAGAATGAGTGAGGTGAAATGGAAACTCCGCCCAGCCTGTAATACACCTATTACAGGTATATTACCTGGGAAGGCTGTGTTGTGTGCATGCTTCATGGCCTGCTCACAAGAAAATGAGGAGATGATGATAATGAATAATAGCACCAACTTTATGGAAAGTGTTGTGTTTACATTTATATATATGGTAGCTACAGTTGGGGTCTGGAATGTTTATTAAAGGCTCATGTGTTAATGATCTCGTCCCAGCTCCGTGCTGTTGGGAGATGAGTGATGTTTCCTCTTCATTGTCAACCTGACTGGATTTGAAAGCACCTAGGACATCCATCCTGACTGTGGGCAGCACCACTGGATTTTGGGTACCAGACTGAGGAAAAGGAAAAAAAAAAAACAGAGAAAGCAAGTTGAGTGTGACCCTTCATCTCTCTCTGCTTCCTGACTAGGATGCCACGTGACCAGCCACTTCCTGCAGATGCTGCCATGGTTGCCTCTAGGCCCTTCCTTCCTCAAGTTTTACTGTGATTGTATTTAGTAATAGCAAAAGTCAAGGATTTTTTTTTTTTTTTTTTTTTTTTTTTTTTACAAAATAAGTGCATAGTTTCATAGCAGAGTGAGTGAGTTACTGATCACTAAAAGCCTCTCTTCGCTGATTTACTTTCTGGGATGTTTTTAGCCAATTTGAAGAAAAAGAATCAGACGTACTTACTCTTTATTTTCTGATGCTGTTTTTTTTCTGCTCTGTATAAGCAAATGTGTTTAGTATGTTTTTCTCGGCGGGAATCACTTTGGTTTCTCAGTTCCTGTGATGTTATAATACTCCTCCTTTCCCTTAGAAGAAACTCAATGGGCATAATAGGCAGCTTTCTAAACTGGACCATAGCACACTTTTAACCACTGGGTTGTTGCTCAAACAGTGCATGAGGCAGCTTTTTTTTTATGATGCTTTGAGTAACACCTTCTGGTGAATAGTAGAGTCGCAGAGTAGAAATGTCCACAGTTAAGATGGTCTCTTTTATGACAATAATCGATGTTTTCAGGAAGTCCAGCAGGTGACTCCGATGCCAGCATGAGTCTGAGGACTCCTGATCTCAAGCTACTGCTTTCCTGTTGCCCTAGGTCCATGTGGGAGTTCCTCACCCTTTCTCTTCATGCAGAGATCAGGCTAAGTAGGATCGTTATTCTAAAGAGCTGAGAGCGTGGATGGGAAGCAAGACAAGGACAAGAAACACCTGCCTGGAGAGCTCTGTGTGTGTGTGTGTGTGTGTGTGTGTGTGTGTGTGTGTGTGTGCGCGCGCGCGCGCGCGTGTGTGTGCACGCGCACCTCCCTTTAACGGGATGGTGGCCTCTTAGGCCTAAAGACTGTTCAAAGTTCTGTTTTTCCAAGCTCACTGTTGGTTTCTTCTCTCTTAATGAACTCCCTGACTTCCTAAAACTGTTGTTTGAGAATTTCATGCCAAATATATTATGTTTTGATCATGTACTCTCTCTCTCTCTCTCTCTCTCTCTCTCTCTCTCTCTCTCTCTCTCTCTCTCTCTCTCTCTAACCCACTGAGTCCACTTACTGTGGTGGTATTGTATTCCCCGAAATACTGTGCATGCTAATAAACTTATCTGGGGTCAGAGACAGAACAGCCACAATATTAAACATAGAGGATAGGCAGTGGTAGCCTTTAATCCTAGCATTCCAGAGACAGAGATCCATGCTTTCAAGGATACAGCCAGGCATGGTGACACATGCCTTTAATCCCAAGAAGTGTGCCCTTAATCCCAGGGAGTGATGGCCTGTAGCAGAAAGGTATATAAGGCATGAAGACCAGGAACTAGCAGCATTTGGCTGGTTAAGCTTTCAGGCTTTCTAGCAGCAGTTCAGCTGAGATTCATTCTGGATGAGGACTCAGAGGCATCCAGTCTGAGGAAACAGGATCAGCTGAGGAATTGGTGAGGTGAGGTAGCTGTGGATTGTTCTGCTTCTCTGATCTTCCAGCATTGACCACAATAACTGGCCTTAGGTTAGGTTTGATTTTATTAATAAGACCTTCTAAGATTCCTGCTACAACTTACTGCTTCCAGGGTGTGCATGGGTGTAGGGCCATTCATTGGAACATGGCTAGCCCACGATGGGGAGAGCACCCTTGGTAAACTGACTCTCCCTCCGCTAGCAGCCATCAGTGGCCATTAGCTCCTCAGCTAGGGGATGGTGCTTTGTAAAAGACTGCTGTGCAACCGTATCTTCTGGTCATGATGGGGGACTTGGCACACATGAAGTCATGGCAAGGTGACTGCATGTATGAGACAAGCACGGTATCAAACCCGCTAAAATTCTAGCGTGGTGGGGGAGGGGATCATAAACGTCCAGGTTTTTATTGGAACTAAAAGCACATTTATATAGTCATAACCTAACTCCTCCGACAATGTTGCCCGGACAGCAGATGTGGCTCATCAGGTAAGAGCACGCACTGCTCTCGCAGAGGACCTGAGTCTGGCTTCCAGCACCTGGGTTGGGAATCACTTGTAACTCCAGCTCCTGGGGGAATCCAATGCTTCTGACCTCCTAGGTACCCACACTCATGTGAGCACACGCCCCACCCCATCCATGTAACAAGAAGTGTTTAAAACAAAGTTTGCTCTGTCAATCCTTTCAGATGCTAATCTCACCAAGTCACCAATCACTCAGTTTTCTTCAAGCAGGCTCTGGTTTACTCAGAACATCTTGGACGGAGATGATGCAGACTCTGAATATTTATTATCTAAATCAAATTGCACTTTACTTAACACGAGTCAGGGGGCTAATCAAATAATCAAAGGTAAGTTAGTGTAAAAGGTATTTTGTATAATCAATATCCAGGAGTGCACATGCTAATCCACGTGAAATGTGCATGGAGAACATAACTACTTGTTTTATTTCTTCTTCATTTACTTGTGTTTAATTTATTGTCTTCAGTATGACTCACTTTCTTTGCTTGTTTTGAGCTGTAAGACTGGAATACAGCCGTTTCTGCTCTCAAGGAATATGTAATCTAGGGAATATGAATAAGAGTATGAAATAATGAGCAAAGCAAGAAGTCTCATTAGAAGAGTGTATTTCCATGGTGGGGAGTATGACAGAAAGCAAGACAGTTCCTAGTGGGCCTGGAGAACCACTGAGACAGTAGAAGATTCATGCTTTGTGTTTCACAATACATAATCCTCATCCAAAACTGTAATCAGATGAGCAAGAATCACCAACAATTTCATGAATATAGGAAAGTTAATGATCATTTCAATTCATTCTTTCACAATTTCATACACACACACACACACACACACACACACACACACACACACACACACACGCATTGCACATTGTCCTCTCTTATTCCCTCATACTCCCATCCAACCTCCTTCTTATTCCCAGTAAGTTCCCCTTCTAGTTCCATGTCTCTTTTGTATGTGTGTGACAAACTATGTTTAATTAGTTTAACATGTTTACCTGAGTAAAGGCAGCCTATCAGTGGCTACACACCAGAGGACTATGACTCTCCCTCCTCCAATAACTACTAGCTGCCTAAAACTCCATGGGGAGGGCTGGGGCCTCATAAACCTGTCCCTCATCCTTAACAAAACGTGGATTGGCCAAGTCTTGAGCAAGTGACCACAGCTACTGTTAATGTGTGCAACAGGCACGTCGTACCCATGTCTAAAAGACAGCATTTCATATGAATTTCTCCAGTCTTCCACCTCTTACATGCTTTCTGCCCTCTCTTCCACAAAATGCTCCCTGAGTCCTGGAGAGGGTGTTAGAGGTGTCCACTCAGGGTTGAGCACTTGGGGGGGGGGCACTTTTTCTCATCACCTTGACCCATTATGAGTTACTGTCTTCACTTCCATTCCCTGCAAAAATCTTCATTGACCAAGGCTGAAACCAGTACTGACCTACCTACCAATACTGTGATGTCTATTCCTGAGTTTCAACCTGACCACACCTGGAATTAACTAAAAACCAAATAGCTGGGTGCACCTGTGAGGGATTTTTCTTAATTAAATCTTTTGAAGCAGGAAGGCCCACTTCTAATCCAGATCTTTGAGTTGAGAAGATCCATCTTTATTCCAGATCTTCTGAGGTGGGAAAGTCCACCTTTAATCTGGGCCACACCATCTGCTGGCAGCCTATACAAAGGATGTGGAAGAAGGAAGCTTGCTCTCTCTTTGCCGGCTTGTTCTCCTTCTCACTAGCAAGTCCATTCCTTCACTAGCATTTGAGCCACTTCTTCAGGATTCTGGTGTATACCAAAGAGCAGCCTCGTGGAAAGAACAACTACTGGATTCTTGGACCTTCTGTTGGTAGACAACCATTGTTGGACCAGCTGGACCACAGCCTGTAAGCCATTCTAATAAACCTCCCCTTATATCTATCTATCTGTCTGTTTGTGTTCTGTCTAATATACTCAGATATAGATTTAGATATAGATATATTCATTCTATAAGTTCTGTTCCTCTAGAGCAGCAGTTCTCAACCTGTGGGTCATGACAACCACAGGGGTCACATATCAGATATCTTACATATCAGATATTTACATTATGATTAATAACAGTAGCAAAATTATAGTTATAAAGTAGTACAAAATAATTTTATGGTTGGGTGTCACCACAACATGAGGAACTGTAGTGAAGGATGGCAGCATTAAGAAGGTTGAGAATCACTGTTGTAGAGAACCCTGACTAGTACAGATATTAACAAAAGCATTTTGAGGGCAGTTTGACACCATGTCCATTTGGCAAAACATCAGTAATAGATTCTCCACTATGGCCTGTGACCATGCTAGCCATTGACTTTTAACTAGGTTTACAGTCCCAGGCATAATTTCCTTCCCATGGAATGGGCTTCAAATGCAGTCAGAAATCAGTTGGTTACCCTCATAGTGGGTATGCCCTGTTGCACCAGTGGTCACATCTTGCCCAGCTAGTTGAAATTATGGCATGTGGGATCCACAGTTGGGTGAGATCATTGATGATGACTCTCCTCCAGCTGCCTGTATAGTACCTTCCAGAACTATGAAATCCCCACATGTGATTTTCTGTAACCCATTCTGTTAAACAAAACAAAACAAAACATGAGCTTCTAATTGTTATTCTAAGGTATTGTAACATTTCAAGACCTATGTCACCTTGTCAGCCATCTTTATTTGAATCAGAAGCTGCTATCAATAGGGAAACAGCCCCAAAGTTCCTCCTTGGGTCTGAATGACCCAGCATGTCATTATTGGAGTCAGAATTCGTTGCATGGGTTTCTCTTAAGAGAAAATACTGTAAGCAAAGTAGAAAACTTGAATGTCTCTTCAGTATAAATAATAAAGCTTGACGATGTGGAATTAATGGTTTCTGAAGAAGTGGAAGATAAGTTCATAATTACTGTCCTCCTAATACAAAAATAAAGGAGATCACCCTAAGCAAATTTACCCAATTATTTTACCCAGGGAAACACAAAGAAACACACAGATAGGATACAATAGGCCAAAGAAATAATTTCACCCAAGATCAGCTAGGTGAGCCAGTAAGTTTATTAAAGTTGTCTAAGTAACCATGGTCAAGAGGTTACTTATAGAAGTATGGGTGAAGGGATACCTCCACGAACACGTGTAAGGGTTAACTACAGGAGCATAGGTAAGTAATTTCCTACAGAAGCGTAACTGAGGGGTTTCTCTTAGGAGCATGGGTAAGAGGATACTTAACAGAGCATGGTTAAGGGTTACTTGCAGAAGTCAGCTTTTGGAGCAGCTCTTCATGCTTTTCCCTCCCTCCTCATGAAAATATTAACAGTACAGACTTTTGAGGGTCTCTTTCTCCACATGGAAACATTATCAATGAACATTTCATGAGGGCCTTGTTTACTTTATCACAACTGCTCTGATTCAATGGAAACATCTACGGAACAAGAGGGAATGGCCAGGAAGTCAGGGGCATATGGCATGGCTGGTTTCAGAAGTAGCAAGACATTCTGGAGAAGACAGCATCCGAGCAAGGTGGGAGTGGCAAGAGATGAAGCAAGGGCATGAGGCGGGACATGAGGACCTTAGGTGCTCTAAAGTTCTTATGTAAGGACGTTCCTGAGAGCCTAGGAGATGGGTCTCTGTTACCTAAAATGGGATCGTGAAGGCTAAGCAACCTCCAAAGCACAATGCAAGGTGAGTATTGATAATTCTTCTAATATCTAACTGAAAGAGTCTATGAAGTGCAGGAAGACATTCTTTGTTGTGTATATCATTAATACATAGAATACATGAGTACCATATTTGGTAAATGAACTCAACAAATACTGCTTGATTTTGTTGGCATCTAGTACCTTGTGTGAACCATGCTGTCTAAAGAAAAAAGTTTTCTAACATTTACTGGGACTCAGTGTCTCATAAAACATTGTTCTTATTGACATTAAGCTTAGACCATCATTCTTGCTGTTCACAAAAGCAATGTGTCAGATTTTAACTTTGTATACAATGGATTAAACACTCACATCATAGTGACCAAAATAACACCCACTTCGATAGGGCCATTACAACAGCCCCAAGAATCAGATTACACATTTTGATCGTTGTAAACCCTGGACCCGTTGGATAATGAACAATTTCAGATATTCTTATCTCTAGATGAAAACTTTTAGGTTGCAAAGATGATATGGGATGTTCATAAGTAACCATGGAGAAGGAACAGAGGGACTAGCTTTGTGTATTAAACTTCCGTGTTTTATTTTAATTTTATTTTTAAGATTTTTTACATTGTGGTGCCTGCATGTGTGTGTGTGTGTGTGTGTGTGTGTGTGTGTGTGTGTGTGTGTGTGTGTGTGTGTGTGTGTGTGTACATTAGAACAGGGCCTGGGAAGCCAGGTGGTGTCAGATCCTCCTGGAGCTAAAGGTTCAGGCAGCTGTGAGCTGACTGAGAGATACTGGGAGCCAAAGTCCAGTGCTCTTAACTGCTGAGTCATCTCTCAGCACCCCCTGCCTGTGCCCCGACCTTTGTAATTGAAAAGTTGAAAGCAAGTATATGGAGATTTCCTTGGATTCTAACTGAAGTAGATGTTTGGTCTCCACATTCTTACCTGATGCATCGAGGGTTCAAAGGCTGGTGAGAAAAGATGCCAGGAATCTAAGTAAGACAAATTGAAGACGTCAATGCTAGCCTAGTCACCACAGTGGCATGCATGCTTAGGAAGTATTGGATAGATCTGATAGCTGAGCTGTCTCTCAGACTAGTGCAGGGCAATCATTCTGGATCAATAGGACATCGCTGAACCACGATCTTTGAGTATATCTCATATCAAATATTTCCTCTGATTATGGGTTCAATTACATGTGCTCCCCCCATTATGTTGAAGGATTAACATCTATTGTCTTAGAATGAGAATTTGTCTGGGAATGGGATCATTGCTGATGAAATTAGTTGGGATGAAGTCATGCTGGAGTAGGTTGGGCTCTTCATTCAACATGACAGATATTCTTATAAGATGATTCAGTGTGAAGACACAGAGATAAGGAGAGAGCAGTGTGAAGAGACAAAGTGATGCTGCACAAGCAGGCAAATGGCTCAGTCTACCACAAGGCAGTCAGAGTGAGGCATAACATTCCCTCAGAAACAGAGGAAAACATGTGTTGCTCTACACCTTGATTTTGAACTTCCAGCCTTCAGAACTATAAGATAATAGATTTTTGCTGTTTTCAAGTATCTCATCACTGGTGCTTGTCACAAGACCTCTAGTAACTAGTATATCTTTGACTCCTAACTATAGGTAAATTGGAATGTAAATCTAATTCCTTGACCAAATTAATCAGTCATCATTCTTAATATTTTGGTTCTACTATCTTTCACACATTTTATAATCAGTAAATATCTTACTTTTAGGGCACATAATCTTTTGCTTTACAGAAATAGTAATTTATTTCATAACTTCTCTATTACATACTTAACTTTTATTTATTTTATCCTTTTATCTTGACTTCTAAAAGCATTTGTACAGAAAATATTAATGTGTAAACATTTCTTTACATCGTTTACTACCAGTTAAGAATAAATACGAAGAAATGGAGTTGCTGGCTCATGGAGCATGGCTTTATTTTTATTTTTGTCATGAGGTAGTAGTCACTTATTTTACTTCTGTGGCCAAAATACCTGACAAAATTCAAGGAAAGGAGACTTATTTTGCTTCATAGTCCAGGTGATATAGCCCATCATGGCAGGGAAGGCATAATGGTAGGAATAGGAGGCAGCTGGTCACACTGTATCCACAGGAAGAAGAGTGATGGATGCTGGGACCAGCTGGCTTTCTCCCAGCCTAGGGAATGGTACTACCTATATTTATGGTGGGTCTTCCTGCCTAATCTAGAGACTCCCTCACAGGCAGGCCCTGAGCTAATCTCCATGGTGATTCTAGAATCTATCAAGTTGGCAATTAATATTAACCATTAGGCATGAAATTTTTAGCATTTCTAGTGTATGTTAGCAAATTATTTCCTTTAAATATAGCAACTTATTACTTGTATCTGCCATATACGAAAAGGCTCATTTCAGAATTGTCTGCAAGTAGGAGAAGATATTACAAAGTTTCAACATACACACATACACACACACATAAACACACGTACACACACACACATACACACATACACACACATACACACACACATACACACACACATACACACACACATACACACACACACACACACATACACACACACACATAAACACACACACACACACATACACACACATACACACACACATGCACATACACACACATACACACACATACACAAACACATGCACACACATACACACACACACACACACACACATACATATACATACACAAAATAACCCAACTAAATTTGAATGACAGTATGACTGTGGTAGTCATGTCATCATCTATAAATGTAAAAATTATGTTTTATACTTCAAATATCTACATCTTATATTTGTCAATTACACTTTAATAAAGCTGGAGATATTATTTACCAACTTGGCTCATAAGGATTCATTAATATGGTTCACATTATTTTGAATACTGGAGTAGAACTTGCCCCTCTCAAATGGTTATAGTAAATTTATTCTGTTCATCATTATTTTTATTTTTATTACTATTATTTTCTTGGTTTTAGTTTTTTATTATTTCATGAGATGCATGCCTTCCTTTTATATAAAGTATATTCACAGGTTTGTTGTCCTCATTTGTAATATGAATCTAAAGCCCAGTCTCCCTCAGGGTTGTTCTAGGAGGGAGTTAGGCTGTGTTCACCCACACCAGGTACCACAGAGGTTCTTAGGGATGGAACCCCAGTTTGCAGTTTCTTGTGAAGCAGAAGCCAGAGTGCTCGCACGTGCACGTGGTTGTTCCCGGTGGCACAGTGACATGCTTCCTCTCCTG